ACCACACGCTGAAAATGTAGAATATTTATTATTATTTTCTTATATCAAATAATGTATAAAAACATTATGTATTTTGAGAAACTAACCTAATACATTTACCAACTTTTCTAAATCACCATTTTTTACAGATGTATAAAGACTCATGATAGTATAACGTTCTGGTCTTTCTGCATTAATTGATGGTTCTGGTATCTTAATAATTTCAGGCTTTATTAAAGGACTAGGTGGACGTTCTGCTAATTTTGTATTATCTCCTTTACCAGGTAAGCTCATTTTCGCAGATGGTAATTTAGAAAATTTCTTCCTTGTTGGTATAAATACAGGTCTTCGCATTCCGCTAACAGTTACCATTACATCATATATTGTACTTTCACTCCCACAATGTGGACAAGCTCCTTTTTTATTTGGATACACTTCACATTCTCTGTGATATTGATGGCCATTAGTACATTGAACAAATCTACCTTGTGAACAAAATAGTCCACAGGAAGGACAACAATTATGTCTTAAAAGTCTCTCCTTATGCATACGACATAATATAATAAAAGGAACTCGAGTACTAGGTCTTCTCATTGCAACATCATTACTATCAACTTCATTACAACATCCTACTAATCTATTATCAATAGAATCTATTGCTGTACAGTAAAGAGGTGCACCAGAGCCAGTTATTGTCACATAAAGTTGAGATCGTACTTGACATAAACATAGCATAGATTGTCCATAGGTCTGAAAATTATGACAATAATTATGTTATTATTATAATAATATATTATATTATAATTACAATAATAGTAATGTGAACTTACTTCACTAACGACAGCAGTTGATTCTGGTTTTGAAGCTTGTCCTTCTGCAGGACTTGGACTAGGAGCCATACTTCTACGGGTTCTTTTTGCAGGTACAGTACCTTCTGGGAAATTATATATATATATATATATTATTAAATATTCTTCATCAATAGTGATATGAAATATCTAATATAAATTTGATTTACCTTCTGGATAATCATTGTGTTTTCCTACTTCTGCAATGGATGGTGAACCATCTGCAATTAAAATTCTGTTACATATCCAAAAACGAAAGTTATATGCATATTATAATTTACATTACCTTCAAATGAATCCGCTTTAGCTATCTTTCGAGCAGCTTGACTTCCACGAGGACGACCTCTCTCTCTTTTAGGTCTACCAGCAGTAGCAGGCTTTAAAAAAGGTTTCTCTATATCTGCTAAAGGTGTTTCATCACTCAAAGGACTACCAATAGAACTACCTAATTTAGTTTGTACATCTGAACTTCTCGTCATTGGAGACAGTTTAGGCATACCATCAAATTCAGATGAGTAGCTTTGAGATTCATCCAAAGTCGTATCATTTGTACTTCCTTCTACTGTAATAGAATTTCTAGAACTCTCTAAACTCATATTTACCTCAGAAGCATTATTATCTATATCAGGAAGAGAAGCTTCTGACTCTTGACGAGCATCAGATGCTTTGCTCTGAGTTTGCTTTGCTTGTTCCTTTCCATGAGGTAGCTTTTTTGGTCGTCCAGGTTTACTATATTTTCTCTGCTTTTTAAATTTTAAGTGTTCCTCAGTATAATTAGACTTTTCTTTTATTGCCATTGCACTTTCTAAAACTGTACTTTTAAAGGATTTTTTGCACAATCTTCTCGCAGAACGTTTGGGACCTGGAGTTTCTTCTGTCGAGTCACTAAAAATGTCACGGAATGTTTACAAATATCATGAACATATATTTAAGAATATAAAATAACAAAAAATAAAAAACCTAAGTGTTCTTAATCTAGGTCGTCCAACTCTTCTCTTTCTGGTTATTGGTGGTGTAGGTTCTGGCGGTTCAGCAGCTTTGGCTAAAGGAACAGCAGTCTCTTGATTACTATCCTTCTCTTTGTTGTTCTTTTCATCGTCAACTGGTTCCATATTTTTGCTTTTTTCTTGCTCTTTAACTTCCTTCTCTTCTTCTTTATCTTTCTCCTGATGATTATCTTTCATTGGTTCTTCAATTTTACATTCCTCAGAATCAGACTTCTCTACGATATCAGAACTTTCATCTGGATTTTCTATTTTAACAGAAACACCACCGATTTGATCACAATTGGCCAGCTCATCGGGTACTAAAGTAAGATTAGAGGAACAGCTGGATATTTTTGTTTTCTTTCCATGATCTGTATTCTCGTCGATTGTTCTAAATGTTAAAACTATTCGTGGTATGTTACTATCCTTCTTAACTACATCCTGTTTCAGAGGACCTTCATCTTCTCCTCGATGATTTTCTTCTATTATTGATTCCACGTTATTTTCTTGTTGTGTTATTGTTGGAGTCATCGTTGCTGACGCTACCGCTGTTGTCGCCGTCATCGTTGTCGTTGTCGACGTTGTCGTCGTCGTCGTCGTCATCGTCATCATAGCCATCGTCGTCGTCGTTGCCGTCGTCGTCGTCGTTGTCGTCATCATCGTCGTTGAAGTCGTCGAAATCGTTGAAATCATCGTTGAAGTTGTCGTATCATCCTCAGAATTGTCCACATTAGAATTTCCGTTAACGCCGTTCGATATCTCATTGTCGATCGTCACGGACGGTTTCTGGGGTTCCTCGTGATCCGGATTTTCCAAGGGTCGATTAGCATCTACGCTTTTGACTGGACTTACACTTTTGTTAAATTCGTTGGTCATACCCTCGAGAATCTGCTGGATACTGACCTTATCTTCGACTTCATTAGCCATGTCCGAGTCTTCGCTCTCTTCTTGGCAACCCTCTTTCGTAGTAGCGGCATCCTGACTTTTACACTCGGACATGGCGCCGTATAAGAAATGCCGCGGAGATACGAAGGCACGAGGTTCGGTAAGATCGAAGCACAAAGCGTCCAAGTTAGAAAACAATAGTTATTAACTGGAATGTCTATGAATTATTATCATGGCACCGGTTAAATGTGAAACGGAAACGAATATCGGTTCACCGATGGAATACACACAGAGATCTGTATACATATATTTATATATACATATGTATATAGGTGTATATATATGTATATATGTATATATAATTTCTTACGCGCTATGTGCACAGACTGTAGTCTTTTGATATTTCTTTTTGACTGAACACCGTAACTCAAATGCTTCTTATCACTACGAAAATGAGCTTTACCAAATCGGTCAGCGTCTTGGCTAATTTATTTTCAAGGCGACTCGCTCCTATCGATGGTATTTCGAGAAAAACCTGCTCTGCACTGTCGGGCCCCGCGTAGAACTGGAGGCCATATTGATTGCTCAGGGACGCGCTGATCCAAGCGAGAAATTTATTTTTAAAACGATCCTAGAACACGAACCCTTATCTTATTAAATTACTTATTAACGAATGTCGAGGCGCTACTTTCCACAATCTGCAAGGATTGTTCGTCAAAACCAATCGAATAATTAAACGGATATTTACTTTCGATTGTAATACTTTTTAATACGTTAACTATCGAAAACGGAAAGATATCATAACGCTTCCGTCGTAATTCATATTTTTAATTCTTGCTGCTTGAAATATACTTACTTCACTCTAGTCAATTATCCATTCGATCTTTTAACTTATGTTAATTTTATTAATATAACGTTTTCCTTATGAAAAAGAAAAATGAGATATCACGATAAAAAATTAATTATAGAAACTGAATTTTTTTGTTATACTTCACGATCAATTATTTTATGAAATTGATTATTTTTATTTTCATGATATTTTTTCAACGTATTTCAAATGCGTATTATTGCAATCAAGCATATTTTATAATGAAATTTATGGTTATGTCAAGGAAAAATATAAAATAAGGAATGACGATACGAAAAAAATCAACGTAAGTTCAAATTATTACGTAATTAATGACGTTAATTTGTTCTTAAAAATAATTATCTAATAACACGTAGGAGTAACAAAATATTTAAAAAAAAGGTAGAAAAGGAAAATATTTTTGGTTTACAATTATATGATATATGTATTTGTATATATTTTTTGTATATACAAAACATATTTTGTACATATATTATCTATATATATATATATATATATATATATATATATATATATATACATATACGTATATAATAAATGTTAAAGGCATTTTTAATAGTTCGATAAGGTTATCGTAGTTTATGAAAATTGATAAGATAAATAAAATATTCTATGTTAGGTAATTATAAAGAAAATGTATGACAAGGAATAAGAAAAAGAAAACAAAAAGAAAGAAAAAAAATCGAGTTAACCAACAATGAAATTTTACATGATTCGTATAAATATAAGTTTATTTACATTGCAACAGATTCTCCATTGTCAAATAAGCGACAAAGAGTAAAAATTACGCGTGTCGACTACACGAAGTTAATGAATAAATGTTAATTAAGAATAATTACAACGCGTCTTAGCCCAAACACACGCCTCTCTTAAATAATATACATAGATAGAAATTTTATAGAGTCTCAGAGGCGCGAAAATTGTGCCATCCTTTTTACACGGGATATTTTTTTTACCCCGTTTAGAACGATACTTCTTATTGCGATTTGGTTTGCGTTTAGATCGTTCCTAACTACGGCCGCAGTTCATTTGGTATATTACAAACGATAATAAAACGTGGAAAAATTCGCTGAGGGTTGATTCGATTAACGAGCATCATTGCAAGGCCGTCTAGGGATTAAGAGAGCGATTGCGATTTTCGCAGACCAGTCTTTGTCCCAAATAACCTATGTATCTCGTAGATTTTGTAATTTTTTTGTTTGTTTAGTGTTTGTTTTCAAAAAGAAAAAAAAAAAGCGTAAACGAAGAGCGATAGGAACGGTTTACGCATTCGATACGTAGATTTAGTCACGGCTCCCTTTCCTTCCCTCCCTTCCCATCGTGATTAATGATTTTAGAAAAATGTCGAGAGTAACTTGTTTTCCCTTTTTTCTTTCTTTTTTTTTTGTTTTTTTTTTTGTTTTTTTTTTTTTTTTTTTTTTTTTTTTTTTTTTCCATATTTTTACAAGCGATATAAAAAGTCGAACATCGTATTGCATTTCTATATAAATATATGTCGATAAGAGAATCATTGACGGTTGGCGTGAATAGTTTAACACGTTACACGTCATGGTCATGAAAGCTGTGCAAAGATTAGTTTCACAGACCGTTCTCTTATAACGAAAAGAGCTTACTCTTTTTTTTATATACACGAACGGTCCTCGACACCATATGTAAACGTATACGACTCGAAGAACAAGCCCTTTTAACTGTAAAAGTTTATTAATTCGAGATGCTCGAGTATTAAAGATTTTCATTTCTTTAACTTTTTTTTTATCCACATACTATGTAAGAACACCATAAAGACAAATTCTTTGTACGCGATCCTCGTTGAAGTACGATACTCTCCCTTCTCCCTATATTAGACACACGTGATTGCTCGAACGACGCTTTTTTTGTATGGCACCAATAAGGGATCAAATTTAATATTAACGGTGGGTTATGGTGGCGGAGGTCTTCTTTGAGGTTCAGGAGTGTAACGTAAACGAGCTCGTACGTGCTGAGGGCTCCCAGGTACTGAATTGCTTTCTGACAATCTCCTAGGTGGAGGTTGGGGTGGAGAAGGCGAGATGTACCTGTAGAAAAATATATATATACACAAACACATATATGTAATACTTTAATGTATCTTACTAATTTCTATGTTAAATTTATTAAATTCATTTGATTCATATATGGAACATGATACTGCACCTTCTAGAGAAAGAAGGAGATTGTTGATCTAAATTCCTTCTTAAAGCAAGAGGAGATTCGCCGCGACTCAATCTCGGCGGTGGCTCCGGTGAAGGAGCACGATCACTCCCGAGCCTAAGACGAACGTACGATGCAAAACGTTTCTTTGCAGATTCCTTCGATCCACCTTGAGTCGGTGGCATTATCGGGGGTGGCTCTTGTGTTAATTGGTGTGCGAAACGTGATATTAATAATTGAGGACTGGTGGAACCATGAGAGCCTTGAGGAGGTGGTTCCGAAGGAAACCTGTATTTTATTTTATATATATATATATATATATATATATTTTTTTTTTATATATATATAAATATATAGTAAGTGATAAGAGAAATGTGATTCATTAAGTTTTAAATATGTACGTGATCATACAAACCTCTTACGACTAATCATAGGACTTCCATATATATCCTGACTTTGTGGATGCGTTTGGGGTGCAGTTGGAATCTGACCGAGTCTTTGCTGTAAAAATGGAGAATATCGACCACTTTCACAAGGTGGTTGTATTACACCTGGAGGATCAACATTCTCACGCCGCCAAGGAGAATAATCTCGTGCGAAAGGACTCAAAGATCGTGAAATATTTTGCCATCGATCCTTGTTGCTATCTCGTTCTTCGAAACGTCCGTGGTAAGGAGAATATGGTCTATTTCCTGAGTCTGTTATATTCAAGTCTTGTCTATATGGTGAAAACGATCTTCCTTCTGATTTACCTTGACCATTGGAACAACGATTCATGACATAATCTTTATTTTGTTCAATCGATTGTCTGTAAGGTGAAAAAGATCGTTGATAGTTCAATTCGCTTTGTTGAACTTCGTTGTTCATCGGCGGGGAAAACGGCCTGGAAATTTCTTTTCGTCTGAGCACATATGGACTACAGGATACATAAGTTGTACCATTTTCGCTACTAGATCTTTGATGAAATGGTAGAAAATTGGAATTCTGTGTCTCTTTGGTGGTATTACTTTTTAAGAAAGATGGTATTTCAGACTGTACCCTCAAATGAGCAGTTTGTTTTAGGGACACATGACCAGTAACTCGCTGCTGTCCCTCTGGCAACCTGAAACTGAATGATATTCTATCAACTTTCACAATTTTTTACAATTCTTAATTCATTAATACGCAGACTCTCCGAAAAGTGACAAACGCCACTATTATCCATGAAAATTGTATTGTATATACATCTATATTTCATCTTGAAATCTGTAAAAGAACTATAAGTCTATATAAAGTTAATAAAAGTTAGAGCATTAATCAAATTTCATGCAACATAGATGAGGATGAAGGAAATTCCAATAAGGTTCCAGATTGTATGGACTAATTCGCGCTTTTCACAAAATATCTGTAACTCTGTGCTTGAGAAATATTATATTGGTGGATAAAAAAGAAGAAGAAAAAAAAAAGACAGAGAGAGAGAGAAGAAAAAGAAAAGAAGAAAAAAGAAAAGAAAGTAAAATTTGAATCATTAAAGTTAAAATCAAATTTTTTGAATATATGGACTGTGTATATGGGGAAAATGATACGTGCCATATTACCGACGAATAGTTAAATAATATAGAAATAAATAAATATTGAAATAAATAAAAAGAATGCTTACCATGAGTGGGGGTTGAAGGGTGGGGTGTGTAACTGTCGCGTGCACAAACCAAACAACTCGAAATGAAAATTGGGCAGACTTTTGGGAATTTTTGAGGTGTATTTTTTTAAGTTTTTTGGAATTTTTTGGTAGTTTTTTGAGGAAAATGGAAGAAAGGGTAGGGACGAGAGAGCGGGAATGCTACGCTGCGCTGCCTCCCTCAAGCTCAACGCTGTAACACAATTCAACACGCACGCAAACTTTTAATCGTAATGTACGGAAAGGTTTAAAATGTCGTTTGGTAAGACTCAAAGATAATTGTATAAATACTATCATCCGATGAATACCCAATTTTTAAACACAGCATCACTTCTGAAGCTGTTTAAATACCTACCCACTGACTTTTAATCAATGCTAAGACATGTTAACATTTTTTTAAACCAATGCAAAATGCAATACCCGGTTATTTTCAAACCAAACCAAATAATTACTATATTAGTTGGGAAACTCATGCCATATTTAAAACTATTTAAAATCTTTATACGTAGCCTGTCTTTGAGTAAAATATTATCACATGATGTAAACTAGAAATATTTGCTTTTATGTTTAATACTATATCATTTAATTAATTTTAATTAATTTTAATTACAATTTCTTAAACAATAATGCTAACCTTGGTTCCAGTTGTCGCATAACTCTACCAAACCATTGACAGCCAGCATTAGATAAAGAAGAATTTGTATCTTCATCTTGCGAAACATCATACTTGCGTATGAAAGGATGTTCCATAAGTTTATGATATTTGGGTCGATGTTTATAGTTTTTTGTAAGGCAGCAACTGACAAAACCTCGAAACTCCTTAGAAAAAGGTGCATCTGAAGGGAGGGACGGAGGATCATCCTGTACCACTCTGCTCAATACCTATAAAAACATTCATATATATGATAGAAAAAATGTTTTCTATTGACTTTAGTTATATAAAAGCAGATACTTTTTAGCATATACATATTTTTCTTTACAAATACCTCAAAATCAGTCTTGCAATCTCGATAGGGAAATACACCAGTCGCTAGTTCAACTAAGGTAATACCCAAACTCCATACATCAGCTCGTATATCATAATCTGGCTTTGTTGGGTCTGGAGGATCTATTCTTTCAGGCTATACAGAGAAAATATGTTATAAAATTGAATTATTAAAATAATTCTTATAATTGTTAATTCTTTTTAAAATAATGGACAATACTTACAGCCATATAAGCAGCACATCCTGCACTCCTAGTTTTTGCTTTACTATCAACTAATCGACCAGATATTCCAAAATCACATAATTTTACTCCTCCTGATTCATCAAGAAGAATATTACTAGGTTTTACATCTCTGTGAATTACACCATGCTTTTCCTTCAGGTACGAAAGGGCTTTCACTGTCTACAAAATAAATGATCTAATTTATAACAAGTGAATAAGATAATGATTATAATTATGACGATTTAATGAACTTACAGCTACTGTTACTTTTCCTAAGAAATCCTCTGGTATGGCTTGTCTACTTCTTTTCAATAATTTGTCCAAACACGTTGCCATTAATTCCATACAAATCCAAACATCAGATTCAGTAATAAAACAACCCAAACATTGTACAATATATGGACAATCATGTGACTTTAATACAACATCCAAGTCCATTATAATTCTTTTATTTTCTTCTGCATTTCCAGAACGTCTCATTTGTTTTACTGCAATAACTACTCCACTGGGTTTATGCCTCATCTTTACAACATGTCCACAAGTACCATTACCTAGCTCTCCTAGATGTTCTAAGTCTTTCATTTCTGTTTGATATCTTTGACCATTTATATTTAGAATACCATTCATTTTCATTATTTCTTGCAACTTAGATTCAAATTCACTGTCGTGCTTCTTTGGAGGTACCATTTGCGATACTGGCAGATCCAGCTGCCTTCTTAATCGGGTAGGGGTACCCATTTCGCCAACTATATTAACAGAAATAATCATAACTAAAATAAATTCCCTGTTCAAGTAACATACAATTTTAAAATCTGATTACATAACAGTTAATATTAAACAGTTGTAACTATGTTTCAACGATATTCAAATGTAAAATTATGTGTTTATATACTTTGACATACACTTTCATTTTATGCACATAATTTAAAGGACACTGGTATTGGATTTTCAAGCAAACTAAAACGATTATGTAGAAATAAAAGCTAATTTTTTACAACTTGTATTTATTATAATTATTGTTAACGATAAAGAAAACATTTCAATGGTTTTTTTTATAAAATGTTCATTGAAAAAAACATTAGTAGCAAAGTCAACAGAAACGTAATGATCAACATAACCTCTGTAAAGAAAACAGCACGGAAATTGAACTTTTAAATGATGAAAACTTTTTGGAAAAAACAAAAGTTATTTTTATTCGACTTGTTAGTCCTAGTTATATCTTACGTTGCTTTGGCCTGCGTACGGCAGGACTTGAAGTAGAACCCGACGATGACGGTTGCAGGCCCGTTCCTGAGCCAACCTCGCTGCTTTGCCTATCCCTATCTCTCGATTCATTTTCCGCTCGAAGGCGCTCTTGCAAATTTAATATTTTATTCTCTAAAGTACTGGACATCGTAAAGATTCCCTTACACGCTTAATCTCACAGTGGTATACGATCTCGCACAAAATATTTGACAATTTTCACATCACTCGTCTGCCCTTTTTGGCAGAGAACATTGCGCCGGCGGTCGCACGCACTGCACTCCCGTCACCTATCGTCAATTCTTGTAACTACTAAAGACGATAACTTTCAAATATCGAAATAGATGATACAATAAGAAAATTATTTTTTAATTTAATTTGAAAGTTTTAATTTAGTTTGAAGAATAAATATTTAATATAATTTTTTGATTTTAACAAAAATAAAAAAACTAACTTTTTGCCTAATATTACTTCGAAGATTAATATATATATATATATATATAAAAAAATGTATATAATCGTAAACAATCTTTATTTTTACATTAATCATGGAAGAAGTTTATTATACAAAAGTCGAGTCCTCTCGTACACTACTTTCTTATTGCACGAGCAAGCTTAGATTTAAATGATTCATTTTATCAGAGCACAATTTTTTTTGTCCCCGAAATTAATCGGAAGATCGAAGATGCATTTGGCTTAGAAAATATTTTCCTCCATGAAAATTATATTATAGCTATCACTGTAAAACAGCAGCATTTGCAGCTATACTTGGATTGTTTACAACTTCTCCTAAACTTTCAAGCAATTCCTTCCTATAATCATCAAAGTCTCCGTCAATTTCATTAATTTGTTGATTTTCTATTACATACAAGCAACATTCAGTATCTCTGATAAGACGTTCATCGTGCGATACGATGATAACGCCTCCTTTGTATTCATTTATTGCATCGGCAAGTGCGTCAATGGATTCTATATCCAAATTATTTGTAGGTTCATCAAGAATGACAACATCAGGTGCATTGAGACACAATTCTGCAAGTGCTACACGTGCTTTTTGTCCACCTGATAAATCTTTCATCTTAATTGTATGTGCGTGAGAACTAAGTCCAAATGTACCAAGTTGTTTCCTAGCCTTTTCATATGGTAAATCAAATAAACGCATAAGATATTCTGATGGAGTTTCCTCAGCCGTAAGATGTTCTCCAGAATGTTGATCAAATCTACCTATTCTCTATTAAAAAAGAATTGAGATGTTATAATTTAGCCATATAAATATTTTTCATTTTAAACTTACCAATCGATGATTTCTTATAAGCTCTCCTTTATGCGGAGACAATTCTCCAATTAATAATTTTAAAAATGTAGATTTACCAACACCATTTGGACCTACTATAGCTATTCTAGAACTTAGATCTATACCAAAATCAACGTCAATAAATAATGACTTTTGTCCTTCATATGCAAATGTTACATCTAAAATAAAATAATGTATATTAGATTTATGTAAATGAAAATATTATCAATATTATTTACATACTGTGAAGACCAAGAATTGGTGGCTGTAATGGAGGTGGATCAGGAAAACTAAATTTAACAATATATTCTCTGGGCCTCTGCAATAATTCTTGTGGACCAGTATCTTCCTCTTGCTTTTGCATTTTTGTTCTATTCTTTTCCTGTTTTCGAGTAAGCACTTCTTTTTGTTTTTTCTCGGCTTGTTTCTTACTTTGACCAGAAGCTTTAAGATCTTTAAGGCGTTTTTCTTGTTTTTCATAAGCTTTAATCATTTCTTTTCTCTTTTGTTCATACATCTTTTTGAACATACTATAATTTCCCTTATAATAATATAATTTTTGTTGATCTAAATGAATTATATCTGTACACACATTGTCTAAAAAGCTTTGATCATGGGATACAATAAGTAATGTTTTCTTCCATGCTTGTAGATAATTATCTAACCAAATAACAGCATTCAAATCTAAATGATTTGTTGGTTCATCAAGTAACAACAAAGTAGGTTCTACAAACAATGCTCTTGCTAAAGAAACTCGCATACGCCATCCACCAGAAAAATTTTTGGTGGCACGGTCCTGCATAGCACGACTAAAACCTAAACCAGCTAAAATTCTTCTAGCACGTGGTTCTGCAGAATCAGCACCAATGGCTTTTAATTCTTCATATACCTTTAAAATATATCAGCATGTGTTATGCTACTAATAAACATATAATAAGATAATGAATAAAATAAATTACTACCTCTTGCAACCGTTCTTGAACTGTATTATCTCCTTGTTCAATTAATTCTTCTAGTTTTTTACATTCCATTTGTAATTCTTTACATTTTATATCTGCATTCAATACAACTTCTACTGCTGGAGTATCATCAGCTATAACTTCTTGTTCACAATATAATACATCTATATTAGGAGGAATAGAAAAGGCTCTTTTTGCAATATGCCGAAGCAAAGTAGTCTTTCCATGTCTACAAAAATATTTACATAATTTATAATACTTTTTAAAGGCTGACACACACTAAAATTAAATATGATAACTTACATACCCATTTGGTCCTACTAAGCCATATCGTCTACCTTGAGCTATTAACAAACTGGCATTGGTAAATAATTCTTTTCCTTTTGCAGCAATACTAAAATTCTCAACTTTTATATCTACTGCATTTTCTAATTGCTGATTACCACGTTGTTGCGTTTGACTTTGTGAAACCGTAAAATTTGATTCTAGTTCACTATGACCCTGGCCACCAGGCTTCGTTAACATTTCCATTGTTTTTTCATATTCTTGTTGTTTTTTTAATTTCTTTTTTTCTTTATGCGTTAATTTTTTACCCGTTTCCTCGATTTCCATGTTCGAAAGCTTCTTGGTAACATCGAATTCCTTATCGGCCTTTGACATGCTGATCGACTTGCACGCACCGCGTGGATTTAACCTTACTTTTCCGTCCTACTTTTTACGGCAATGCAATAAAGTTAGCAGAAAGGCCATAGCGCCATCTAACATCTAAAAATATATGTCAGGATATTAGAAAAAAAAATAAAAATGCAACTGATCCAATTGAAATCTAATGAACTTATTTTTATTCAAATATATGTCAATGCATATCTCGAATTGCATTACTGCGATTATCGTTATAATGGGATATTGCGATTTTCATCTCGTTACGTTCTTATAGAAACGTAATGCAATAATATTTAGCATTAATTATCAAGTTTATTATTAGAATTTTAAAATTAATGTATTTGAATAATGTCTGACTTTGTGGATGCAATAAAGAGACCACTTTCTATACCTCCACGTTTTGTAGCTTATTTAGAAAAGCATAGAATATATGAACTTTTTCAAGTAATTAATTAAATTAATTTATTTATTTATTTGCGCTTTAATTAAAAATTAGTTATATTTTACTGAAGCATGTTATAGGAACTTTCTAAACAATTAATAATTGATCAACCAAATGATCATATTCTTTATATGAAGCAATGTTTAGAACATGCAATAAGAAAACGTGATATTCCAAGAATTATTCTTTTAGCACCACCAGATTTTGGTGAGAAATAATTTGGTAATTATATATAAAAAAATAATATTAACTATTCAGTGAATTGTATTTATAGACAAAATGGCCTTAGCGAACTTTTTTCAAAAAGAACTAGGACTTCAACCGATTACCTTGAAAGATCTTCGTGAAAACGTAATTACAAAGAAGGTAAAAAAGCTATTGTTAAAGAATAATTTTTTCTAAATAATTTTTTCTCAATAATTCTAACCTAATTTAGAACGCATGTTTATGTAACGAATCTGAATCTCTGGCAATGAATATGAGGAAATTATTAAAAACGGGAACTTTACACAATTCTGGTTGGATTTTAGTTGGTATATGCAATTGTTAAGATTAATTTTTAAATATTAATAAAAAATAAATGTATATAGAGTGAAATAAGTTTTTTTTACGTAGATGTGCCTAGAACGAAACAAGAAGCTCGAGCTTTTCAACGGCTTGGCATAATACCCACACATATTTTTCAAATCATAATGTCAAATGATTTAGGTGAAGTATAATATTCGTATTTATTTATCTTACTTGCCTTTAATAATCGACTTTTTTTTCTTTCTTTCTTTTTGTTTTTTTTTTACTTCTTTTTTTGTTTTTTTTTAGTTGAAAAGAAAATTTCCGAAAAGACCATTTCTAATTACCATTTTATCAATAATGATATGCACAATAATATTAACAACGTGGAAATGCAAAAGTATAAAAAGAATCTTCGTGGACTACGGGAAGCTTATGCCAATTGTTTAATTGTAAATTATTACGTTTTAAAAAATAATATAAATTCTTATTAATACTTCACGTTTAGGAAATCGAAATCGGTATTAGATCGATCGAAGAATTAGGAAGAGATTGTATAGCATTAACGAAAATAAAAAAACATTCTGGAGCACCTTCTCTTTTTCGAATTGTTCTAATTGGTTCTCGAGGTTCAGGATGTCGTACTTTAGCCAAGTATCTTGCAAAAAGATTCGATCTCATACACGGTACATTATTTATAATAATCGATAAGTGTAACTTGTAAATAACTTGTGTTTAACTTTGAAAAACAATTATTAATTTTATAGTGGACTTTAATTACATTATAAAACAAGTACGTCTACAAGAAACACCTATAGGTGAAGTATTACGATCATTTGAACATAGATGGGGAGAAAAACCAAAGCCTGAAATAAAAATACAAATAATTGACGTAAACAATTGTTTACTATATTTAAGTAACTATAGGATAGGTCAAAAGTCCTTAGATAAATTAAAAATATTTAGATGATTTTAAAAATCAATTATACATTTTCGAAACATTTTAAACTTATTTCTTGCTTAAATTATAAAACTTTAAGTCTACCTTGTTAAATTACAATCTAAAGAGTATGAGTAAAGAGTAATTAATTTTTAAAATCATATAAAAATTTGTTGATCTAGCTAGGAACTTTTGATTTACCCTGTACACTATTAAATTCTTTTCGCTCTTATATGTTCAATCTAGAACTACATAAATAAACCTGAATGTTTAAATAGAGGATGGGTTTTAACGAGTTATCCAATTACTGTGGAAGATTTTAAACACTTGGATATGATCGATACACCCCCAAATAAGTATAAAAATATAATAGTCCAATTCTTGAATAACGTCATTTCCTTGAATAACACTTAGAATCTTTTCAGGGTAATTTTTGTCGAAGTTAATGCAGACATACGTAAAGAGAGACTTTTAAATCGCCGATACAATGTAATCACTGGAAGTAAACATAATATTACTTCGAACGATAACAGCAAAAATTCTGACTTAGGCGTACACCCTGACG